CCGTGCCAAATAGACGCTAATATTGTGCCCTAGGACAAGTATTATTAATGATGAAGATTGAGTTTTTAATTTGTATTTTATTTATTAAATAAATTTGAAATTTAGTTTCGATTAGGACTTTTAATTTTGTTATTATCTAGATGTTAGTTGTTAATTAGGATTAATAATTAATTAGAGTTGTCATTTATTAAGATTAGTCTTTAATTAGATTTCTTAATTATTATAAATCAGCATTGTAGCCTTAATGGCAAAGGAAGTTTTTTTGAATTGAGATTTTCTCCAATTTTCAATCCAAATTAATATTCGGGCACAAATTAATGATTTGTTGTTCAAATCGAATATTCGATTTTTTTTGTAAAGAATCGACGAATATTTTACGATATTTTTTGTGAATCAATCGAATAAACGATTAGTTGATCAAATCGAATTTTCGATATTCTTACAAAGAATCAACAAATGTTTTATGATATTTATCGTAAATCAACGTATTTATTTCTTCTACCACTCCTACATCATATTTTCTCAATATGTGAACTCAAAGTTTTCCAACTTTTTAACCATATATTTCCGCCTTTTTGAAGATGATTTAAAATGTGCTCATGCATGATGAAGTCATGAACTTCTAGAAGAGATCTAACTGCTCGTATGTTCTCAGATGCTACAAGAATTAGGTCATCTTTGATATGCCCCAAATTCCTCAAGCGTATCCTATTTTTTATTTTATTTTTTAGCCCTTATTTGATTTCCACTATTGTTAAAATACATTTTTCTCGTTCTTATTTTTAACCACACATTCTTCAGTAGAATAATATTACACGCAAACTCAATTTTTTTATTTATTATTTTTTACTCATACATTCTCCATCTAAATACTATTTCAAAATATCTTTTTGACAAAAAAGGGGTGGAGGCTCAAGTGATTTGCAAACCAGGGTAATGACAAGGTTTATTATACTTTTAATTAATTCTAACACCAATCATCAGATTGTTGCACATTGAAAGAAAGAAATTACTTGCGATCAACTTTGCGAGCATGGCTCTTCTTAATGCAAGCCTCGACAACCTGTAAGTCGATCGAAGATGAGCTGACTAACGATTCGATCCATCATGCCCCTATCATCGACCGTTGTTTTGGGTATTTGGCCCCCATATCTTCAAATGGCTCTTATTAGACCACAATTTCCTAAAAATGCAACAATTTTAATATGAGGGTGTTTGATAGTCATTTTCATGTAAAAATGTATTTTAGAATAGTAAATTGATGTGAAATGTGTTGTTAAAAAATAAAGATAAGTTTTTGATTTATGCCAAATTGTACCAACGCCACGGCCACATGCAAATGGAAAATCTTGTCCCCCCTTGGTTTTTATTCTTGTCATTAATATTAATATTTTCTAGTCACTAATTAGGGGTCCCATTTTTCTCAATCAAACTTTAGTAATCAAATATAGATTTGACAACTAATTAACATGATACTAATAATTGAATAAGCTGCATGATAAAATTTTAAGGGTGTATTTGATTGTAATGATGGAACCTGAATGGAAAAATAATAAGTTCTAGACAATTAATTGCTTAAAATTTATTTGCATTAAAATTGTCAATTAAATATGCTTGATTGACTTAATTTTCAACATAAAAAATATTATATATTAGACGGTGTGAATTACCTAAAAAATAATAACATATCCACCATAAAGAAAAGAGTAATACTTTTTTAGCACCACTTGTATTAAAATATCAATTTAGGTAGCACTAAATGGCAATAAATGAGAGGTATAGATAAATTAATAACTTAATTCTACATGACCCTATCACTTAACGACACCTGGACTGGTGTGTTTAGCACCATTGATATTAGATAACATTATTCTAAATAAAATATTTTCCTTGTTTTTGAAGAAAATATGATCATATGATCAACTTTGAAAAATATTTTTCATGAAAAAAAATCATCTCAAAAATAGGAGCTTAAATTAAAAAATATATATATGCAATATTTTTCATGAAAAATAAAACCAATTAAATACACCTTCAAATTTATAATAAAACATGACTAATGTTGACAGCTCCAAATTAGCTGCTAACGTTTGTGGACATGGGCTCGAGAATTCAACACTGAGTGACAACCTTGAATTAAGTGTACTAGATTAATGTATTAGCCTGCACCATGATAAGCTTGAGCGATTATATCAATTATTCTTAATTACAATTTTCTACCTATTAAAACATAACTTTATGATCTGTTTGAACTAGATTTTTTTACAATTAATTTTGTGATTATTTGGAGATTATGTGATTAAAAAATAGCAAAAAAAAAAAAAATATGACTCGTGTAAAATTATTTTATTGAGAAAATGTGTGATTGAAAATAAGTTTAAGAAAAGATAAATTTTAAAAAATATGTACCAAATAGGGGGTTAGAGTAGAATTAATTTTTAAAACTAAAATTTACCCCTTTTGATAACACGAGGTTACGATGTCCTTAGCTCGAGAAATAGTGTGATATTGGTCGATCCATTACGTTGTACTCTACTCTAAAGCATGAGAGATTAAATCCTGCAATTTCTTTAGAAAATATTATGACTCTCTTACTTATATAAAATAATTAAATAAGATCTTAAGCTTTGTTATTTGCTCATATGATTTTACTATGTTTGGAATCGCTCTTAAACTAGGATGTGTTTGGCTAACGACTAAAATAAAGTTTTAAAAAAAAAAATTATAACTTTTTCTGTATACAAACATAGTATAAAAATATTACTTCTTCAAAAGTAACTCTTGTTTATGCAAAGAATATACTAATTTTTAGATAAGTGCATGCAACATTTAATCGACACCACGTAATTTGTCTCAACATGTTACATTTTGTACCATCAAAGAAAAGATTGGACCCTTGAAGCCATGTGACAAGAACATGTGTCCAACAAATGTTGTTACATAATCAATGTTCTACTAATTGATGAATGTGTTACTATGTAGAATTTGATTTCTATCCACGTTTCCTTTTGCCATTCAAAGGCAAATTATACATAGTTGCCAACAAAAAATTCTTTAATTATTAATTACGTCTAATTGTATCTTAATACAATATGCTCGATATATTTATAGAAGTGTGTGTCACGTATCATCGATAGTTTTTGTTATGAATAACATTATTCTTTATATAATCTATTTGATATACAATACTAAACACAATTGTAGCTAACAATAATAATACTATCTTTATTATTTTCATTTGTTTATCTCTTCAACCAAACATATCTCTAATTGTTGATTAGACAACACATATTCATTATATATGGAGGCAAGTTGATTAAACAACACGACGACAATAATGCTAGGGACGATCCGATAACAAAATTAACTAGATTGTTAGGTTATACACATATAAATCAGGGATAGCTATACAATATGGTATCGTCAGGATATTTTTCAGGATTATGGTTCTATATAAACAACCTATTGTCGAGTTGTATAGTGGACGTAGGCATATATCAAACCACTTAAATTTCTGTTTTGATCTTATTATTTTTCTTCTTTTCAATTATATTGTTCACGTTTGCACAACATTGCCACATGAAGTGCTTTCTGTATACTTTTGGACAAAAATTCAAAACCTCTTTTATTTTCTATGGCACATATTTTTCTTGCTTTATTTTATTATTAAAAAACAATCTTGCAATACATATTTACCACAATAATTTTAGCTAATTTTCTTGACACCAAACCAAAGATTAATAAAGAATAATTGAATTTCAAACACTAAACAATCATTTCATCAAGGTAATTACACTTTAACCAAAATAAGTAGTTCTTGATGCATATTTGTTTCTTAATCATGTCGAGCTTGGTTTATTCAACATATTAGATATGCCATTAAATTTTAAATATATCATTTTGAAACTATCAAATCATTAATAAATTATGAATTGTCATTGTTCCAAAAAAAGGGTAGAATAAATGAGCCTTGCTATTTGGCCAAGGTCAACTCCCAACCGAAAAAGGGTGCCCATGTGGCGCCCCCCCTCCAACAGGGGGCCCCATATGGGCGCCCTATTTTTTGGTCGGGATTTAACCCTGGCCAAACAGGTTTTCTGGATGAATTAGGTTTGTAAAGTCCATTGTTATTGTTAATTTTAAATTAAATTATTTTCTTTTGTAGTTTTCCTATAAAATTTATGACTTTTTAAGAGCATGTTTGGATAGATTTAAAAAAAGTGTAGTTATTTTTAAATAACTTTTCATCTTTAACTTGTTTGGAAAATGTAACATATTTAAATTATAACTTACTTTAACTATAAAAAAAGGGGGTTTAATTTTCATTTAAAGTTGCAAACTCAAAAAGAACTTTATCTAATTCTATTTCTTTATGTTATAGTTCCAAATTGAATTTTTTCATATGTACAGAATTTGTTTCACAGAAAGTATACAGAAATCTCACATGAATGTTGGACCCATATGAATAAAAAAGTGCCAAAAAAATTCACCCCACCCTCTGCTGTGAGTGGTATTTATGGATTCTATAAAATCAGAATCTATATGCCAAGCATCTCTCTTCCAAGTTAAAGGAATGTATGTAAATGTAAAGCAATTTATTTTACTGTATTCAAACTTACTTTTACACTTAAAAGTATTGATTTTAAACTTAACCAAACATGCTCTTAAGTTGAAACGAGGAAAGATTTTATTTGCTATAATTATCAAGAAAAGATTTCAAAATTGGATAAATGTGTAGAATAAAGACTTTAATAGTAATTATTTATGAATAAATCATTTTCTGGGTTTTAAATGATAAGAATTTGGAATTTATTTTAGTTGCTGTTTGAATTATTTTTTGAGAATATATTTTATAAAAAGTGATTTATTTTGAAATAAAAAATGAGTGATTAAAATTTAAAAAAATGTTTTGTGTAAAATTATTTATGATTAAGAATAAATTTTTTTAAAGAATATTCCATTATTTTCCTCGTCATTTGAAGCAGCACGGAGCCACAGACCCGCACAAAATTCTCCCACGTCTCTTTCTTATATCTATCTTTAGATCTCAAGCTATACATACGTACACACTCTCTGTGTTCAATTTCTCATTCCGTTTTTGGAAGAACGTTTAGGCAAAATTTCACCGCCAAATATTTAGGAAAAATCCCATTTTCCAGCTATATTTTTGAGAATCTTTAGCTCTTATTATTCTGTAACCCATCAAAGATTCCATTTAATAATTATAAAAATAAGTTATTTACACCCCCTCCTTTTTTTCTGTGCTACGACATCAAATCCGAGGCTTAAACTTGATACCGATTTCTGGTTTTGTTTAAAATTATCTACTTTGGGGATTTTCTGAAGTTTCATAGGTCTTTTATCCAAAAAGTTTTGAGTTTTGGGTTGGAAAGTCAACATTTTGTGGCTGTGTTGTGATCTAACCTTTGTTGATTGCTAATATTGATTCATTGTTTAGATGCTTTCTGGATAAATATGCAGCCCGATCAGAGAAAAAAGGTATTAATTTTTCTGTTATTAACATATTATCTAATACAAATAAATGTGGTATTTTGAATTATGTGAATAATTTCTTAATGTAAGTTAGGATTCCCGACGTTGGTACTTTATTATTATTATTATTAATTTTTTTTTGTACGCTTGTACTCTATTTTTCAAGCTCAGATCCCACTGGATAACAATATTTGATTTGAAAATGAGATCTGTGATTTTTCAGATGTCAGGGTTGATTTCCCTTTGGATTTAAGAGTTACAGCGAATTAAGGGGGGATTTTGGTATTGGTTGTAAATTTTTTAGGTGATTCTATGTTTTAGTTGTCTGGTTGCAGGTCTTTGTTAACTGGAATTTTTTTCCCTTAAGATCACTCTTAGATCACTGATTATATCAATATAATAGGTGCACTGACTTTGGTAAGGAATTACTCAAATCTTTTGTAAATTGTAATGATTGACATGTTACTATACTGAGACGAATGTTGTTAAGTTGGATTTTGTAATGGATGATTAAGTTTACGAGAGCACATTGAAAATAGGTTCATGTTGTATCTCTTCCTATGTTGAGAAATAAATTTGTGCCGTGTTCGTTAGAAGATGGTGTGTCAATGTGGATCTGTATTGGTTGATGTTCATATATACTGGTCTGGGGAATGGTTACTTTTTCTATATTGGCTGATATCTGAAAATTAACTGTAGTCCTGTTAACATATTTTTGAACCAGTTACATAATGAAATGTTAATAAAATGGTATATCATTATGTGATGGTGCAGGGGTCTGTGGAGGTAGATTTCTTCACGCAATATGGTGAAGGAAGCAGATATAGAATCGATGAAGTGATTGGTAAAGGTAGTTATGGAGTTGTCTGCTCTGCATACGACACTCATCTTGGGGAAAAAGTTGCAATTAAAAAGATAAATGACATCTTTGAGCATGTCTCTGATGCAACACGTATACTTCGGGAGATTAAACTTCTTAGGCTTCTTCGACATCCAGACATTGTGGAAATCAAGCATATTTTACTGCCTCCTTCTAGAAGGGAATTCAAGGATATATATGTAGTTTTCGAACTAATGGAATCTGATCTCCATCAGGTCATTAAAGCAAATGATGACTTGACTCCCGAACATTACCAATTCTTTCTTTATCAGCTTCTTCGAGGCATGAAGTACATACACACAGGTTTTGATTGCCACAATTTTAAATAGACCCTTTTTGATATTTGGATTACAATTCAAGCTCCTCCATAAACATTATGTATTTTAAAATATACTTTTTGCAAGTAGTTCTTGAATTGTAGCTGTTATTGTTTCATCAGCTCTCTTAAATGCTTTTCTTTTCTGCAGCAAATGTTTTTCACCGTGATTTGAAGCCTAAAAATATTTTAGCAAATGCTGACTGCAAACTTAAGATCTGTGACTTTGGCTTGGCAAGAGTAGCCTTTAATGACACTCCTACCGCTATATTTTGGACAGTATGTTTCTTTTCTTTAATTTTCTTGGGAACTGTTCATTTTCATGCTTCGTCTGATTAAAATGGTTGCCCTTTTTTACATAAAAATCATACGATCTTAACTCTTAAGAAAACTAGGGATATTTATCATGCTATGAATTAACATTGTTGTAGGACTATGTTGCAACAAGATGGTATCGGGCTCCTGAATTATGTGGATCATTTTTCTCGAAGGTGCAATCTCTTCCTCTTTCTCTTCATAATATGATATGTAGAAAGAATTGATTTCCATAGCTTCATTGTGCTGAAAAAGTATTTTATTCCAACATGTTAATTCTGATATTTTTTGCAGTATACACCTGCAATTGATATATGGAGCATTGGTTGCATATTTGCCGAACTTTTGACCGGAAAACCTCTTTTTCCTGGAAAAAATGTGGTTCATCAATTAGATCTAATGACTGATGTGTTGGGTACTCCGCCACCAGAAACCATTGCAAGGGTGTGTGTTTGTGATAGTTCTTAAGAAAGATACATGAATTCAAACTAAAGCCTTTTTGTTTGTTAACTTATTAATTCATATGACAGATAAGAAATGAAAAGGCCAGGAGATACTTAAGCAGCTTGCGAAAGAAGAAGCCCGTTCCTTTCTCTCATAAGTTTCCAAATGCTGACCCCCTTGCTTTACGCTTATTAGAAAGGATGCTTGCCTTTGATCCGAAGGATCGACCATCTGCGGAAGAGGTATAAAGGTTATTGGCATAACATTTGCTAGTCATTTTGTAGTCCTGCTCTCTAAAAGTGAAGAGTTGTGAGCTTTCAGGCTCTTGCGGATCCATACTTCAGGAACTTGGCCAAAGTTGAGAGAGAACCTTCTGCACAACCGGTGACAAAAATGGAATTTGAGTTTGAAAGACGAAGGATAACCAAGGACGATGTGAGAGAGTTAATATACCGGGAGATTCTTGAATATCATCCGAAAATGTTGAAAGAATTCTTAGACGGAGCTGAGCCTACAGGCTTCATGTATCCAAGGTATTGTCGTCAATAAATGATTTGAATACATATACATTTCTATTAGCGATATCTCATTTTTTCTATATCTGTTTTATTGCATTGACTTTTTATAGTGACCTGTAGGGAAAATGTTAGAAATTACTTTAACTGTGATGAATTTTTAGATCTTCTTATTTTATGTGAAGGTCCTGATTTCTGGGTTTTGTGGCTTCCTGCAAATGCTCAAAAGGATATAGTTTGGTGCATGTGAGATGATCCAATATGTTCAGTAACCATAGAAGATCTCACCTGTCCCTCCTCTCTTGAACTAATTTGAGAACTAAAATTTAAGCTTGTAAAGACAAAGTTGGTCCTACTTCACGTAATAGGTTCTTATGTACAGTTAGTATCTGTTCATAGGTGGTTGTGATTACATACGAAGAAAGGCATACGAATTGTAATGCCGTTCATTGCATCCGATTGAGTAAGCTACAATTTTAGAACTTAACCATCAAGTATAATCTCAGATGTACTGAAGTTGGAGTCATAGTAAGGTGTTTAGATAATTGTAGAACACTTCTTTTAATTAGTTGTTTAAGCACCACCCTATTAGGTTTACAAAATTCGTGGTGAATTGGGATGCATGTACTTATTTATATCATTGTTTTATGTATCAGAAATTACAGTAACTACTCTGGATTATCTCCTTTTCCTCTACTTCTTTGTGTCTTTTTTTCCTTTTTCCCTTCTTGTTAGCTTCATTATGTTTGCCCTTATACCATGTTGATAAGGTGCATTGGCTAGCACTGGACACGAGCAAGAAAGAAAAAGAAGCTAAAATCTTGTTCGTTATAATGTACGGTCCAGTCTAATATAGCCTATTTATCACGTACTTTGGATATTCTGATTTGGTAGCATGCTCGATCAACATATCTTCCTATTAGGGTCACATCATGTTACTGCGTTTATCTTACCCTTTTAACATGATTATTCAATTTTATTGCCTCCTTTTCATTTGCAGTGCTGTCGACAAATTTAAGAAGCAATTTGCATATTTGGAAGAGCATTACGGAAATGGAACTACTGGTCCACCTGAGAGGCAGCATTCATCATCTTTGCCCAGGTAAACTTCAATAAGTGCTTAACTGTTACATATCCTTGTTATGTGTTACTGTTGAATAAGATGAGGAATCGGCCGTTATTCAACATTTTACCATCATACTGGCAACTCAAAGATGCTCTCGTGCAGGCCATGTGTATTACATGCGGATAATTTGACACAGAATTCGGCTGGTATCTCAAATGATTTCTCCAAATGTTCCATTAAAGAAGTTGAGAAGCCGCAGGTGGACCGGATGTCTGGAATTCCGAGATTTCCTCTCCAGGTTCCTCAAAACATACCAGGTGTGTGATTTACGCTGAATATCAACTCAATATGGGAAATTATTGTTGTTTATTCTTTTTGTTTTGTTCGGTGCACAATATTAGACTGTAAAATGAATTTTGTATAAAATTGTAATGGATATTAGGTAGAGGGTATTGTGGTAAATTAAGGTAGATATTATCTTTTGATTTTTCACGTCAAAAGAATGTTATTTACCATTATCTTTCTTACCTGGCCTAAACCTATTGCAACCTCCATATTATATGTTATACGGTTGATGGTGCAAATGATTCTCCCTTCTGAATGAAACGTAAAAAACACTATCCATCTTAATCCATCATAAATTCATAATACCATCCACATACTTAGATCTGTTATAATTTTATATTATTCCTTGTACGGCTTGATCCGGTGTGCCAAATGTAGTAGCGTTATTGTGTAATCATTCCATATTTTGTTCGAGTTTCTTGCTTGAGTGCCTATGTTACCATGAAATGAAAACACAGAGCTTTTCAGTGGTGGTCATTTGCTCACTCATTCCTGGTTGTGGTTGGCATCCAAAAATATAAGAAAATAGTTACCCAAGCAGAGCGCCAAATGCTCCTGTGTAGGTAAGGGTGAATTTAATACATGAAGTTGCTGTATTTGGTTTTCTCGAATTAGATCATACAATCGTAGTCAACATTCTTCATTTTATAGGCCAGCTCATGTTTTTGTTATGGGCCCTCCCGGTTCTGGTTAATTTCTAATAGCTGTTTCCTTTCACAGTAGGGGGTGCTGCAAGGCCTGGGAAGGTCGTCGGCTCTGTTTTACATTACAACAATAGTGCAGCAGCCGCAGCAGAGGCCAATGAACAGCGAAAAATGGTCAGGAGTCCTGCAATGCCTGCACAGTACGTTGTTCCTGGCTCGAGTTACCCAAGAAAGTATCCGGGCTGTAAGAATGAAAGGGGAGATGGTACTGAAGGATCCAATGGTGCCCAACCGAAACCCGACATGTACATGGCCAGAAAAGTAGCAGCTGCTCAAGGCGGGTCAGGAAGTCACTGGTATTAACTTCATGATACTCTGGTCGACTGGGATGGACACGCTTTGATGGTTGGCTCATAACCCGAGCGCTTGATCGACTGTAAACCCATCTCGTGTATGACAGATTTTAACATTCCTGTATTCCTAACAGGAGGGCTAAAATAATCGAACTACTTGACTAACATTATACAGTTCATATCAATGTTTCCGAATATGTGAAGACTGCATGGATTCTCATCCATGATTATTCTTTGGAGATTCAAGATTGAAATGGCAGATTTGTAGGACGATGTAAAGCTGAGGAAGTGACCTAAAAAAAAGCTAATCTTGTGTTACGTGCCTGTATTATTTTGTGACTCTGAACTCGGGTTGGACACAGCGAAGACTCATAGTCTGAGATAAGGTTTTGCTGTATTGACAACGTTGCCGATTTCATTTGTCTAAACATTTTGTTCCCGTAGCTGTATAACTACTAAAGCTGTTATTGGACGATAACTTTTAAGATGAAATTGTATGATAATGTGGTTCTCGTAGCCTCTCAGTGACGATCATATTCTCCCAGAGAAAGATTAGATTGCAAGAAACATTCTAAAAGACAAAAAATTATCATACAAAAGGATAATAGTGCTGAAAGAACAAATTAAATTTAAAATAATCTAAATCCTGACTCCAATTCAGTCATTTTCTCTGAGAATTTGATCCAATTCACAGTCAAGAAATTGCTATGTTCTTTGCCATACCCTCCTATTTGAATCACTACAATCCACGGGGGTTTCATTACCATGTTAGTAGAAATGTCTGAACATTTGACCCCTTTAACTATACACTCTAGCAAATCAGTGACGATTGAGGGACAGCTCTTCGTCAGGTGCTCGAATCCTTCCGTTTGCAACACAGCTGAAATCCAAACAAGATTCGTGAGAGTTTTTTAATCAAAGGAAATGAAAAATTTTATTCATAATTGCTAATGATCTAGTTGTTTTAAGTTTTCCGTATAGGTAGCAATTATCCCAACTGAGTGGCAAAAATGAGTTCATGTTTTTTCACGAGGACTAACAAGATTTTTGAAATATCAGTACATGTGCGGGAGAGAATCTTTAACCCAACGGGACACATAGATCCATCTTTCTTATGTAGAAATATGAAATAATTATGCATTAAACACCAAGAACTATGGACCAAAATCTTATACTTCATGTCTCAAGTTGCCACTGAGACTAAGCATTCATATTTGCAGATTGTTATGCCCAAATGATCAAGCTACTAACATGGGGATATTTTTAGGTGGGGATGGGGAGGGGGGATCACAGACCTAGCAAATTCCCCTGAACCATGTGGCCCAACAGGATTGCCATGAGCCGTGTGTGGCCTGTTTTACCGAAAATGCATTGATAGTAGTATCGTTTGCAAGTATTGTTGTAGTATACTAGCCAAAGTGTTGTGTGTTGGCAAATGTCAAGTTTGGCCCGTGGGCCTGGCTGAGGCTCTAGAACCCCTGGCCACCACATGGGTGATCCGTGTCATGGTGGCATTGATTGTAAGGAGGACTGGATAGTACTAAAAAATAAAAAGAGGTAATACAGAGTAAACATGAACCTTTACCTTTTAAATTTTTAGGCCGTACAATGATCTCTATACATATTGACTTCAATTGGGAATAATTGTGTTGCTGTGCCAAAGCGAGACTTGAGGTTACAGTGTTGATGACAATATGTTTGTTAATTCTCGCCTAACAAAGTAACCTAAGTCTTTCAAGTGCATATCAGTCTGCAGCAGATAGCAAATGCTATGCCATCACAGTTTTCACCCATTTTGTATTGAGACCAGGAAACGCTTCCACATAAGGATAGACTTCCCAGTAGAGAATATGAAGTAATGCCTAAAAACAACCAACCAAACGACTCAAGAATTTTAATTAGCAAAAGAGAACCCAAAACCATATAATTTTGTCCGCGATAAAATAGGGTGCAAGAACGAGTGCATTACGTTTGGAGGACTAAAACAAAAGGAGAGTGTAGAAGTTTGTACCTTGAAAACTGAAGCCTTGATGGCTTCAACTCTAATGCACTTTGTGTTATGTTCCTTAAATGTACCAAAGAGTTGTGCCTTAAAACAGGGAGCGTGCCGCAATGACCAATTTGCGAGCAGCAAATATTTCCCCCTCGACTTCAAATTGTACATCACTTTTCTCCAAACTTTCTAAGAGTTGCCCAAAATTTTGTCCAACCTTAGATGCGGTTGACAATTGGGAATGTCGTATATTCCTTTCTGCAGATATTGTAATAAAACCCACAGTACATTGGACAAGGAGACATCATCTTTAAGATAATCTGATTTTTCTAGTATCTCTTTGTTGATATGGAGCTTGTAGCCCCCGCAAATATGCTCATCAAAATAAATAGTTAGACAGAATTGTGTGCACTGAAGTATTGGGACCACCAACATAGTCCTGGTGCAAAGAATCATTATTAAGTATGATCAATACCAGTCTAGATGGCAGTGCTCCGATTTCATAGTCAAACGCATTAAAATGAATTACAAATTCATTAGAGAACAATGAATTAGAGAGTTCACTGCAATCTGAACTGGTGATAGTCACAACTAATGATAGCAGAACCCAAATTTATCGAGAAAAGGTTACATAGAAACTCCCCTTACCACGTTTTACCGTGCCTAATTGTGTATGGCTTGAATTGGTTTTGCACTAAATGCTTCTCCTTTCCACTCTAGTCGAGTAACTCCACCTTGAATAACGCCCTCACCCCTTTGCCCAAGCTAACCCGACCGATATAACACGAGATACAAATCTTCCCAACCATCTTTTTCTTGTCATCGGGGATAAAAATAAATTGCCCAACAAAGTTAACCACCCATGAAACTCTCTGAAGCAATGAATTTCTCAATTCCAATACCTTCTATCAATGAATATCCTGAGATTTCAAAAATGTGAGAACCCTTTAATGCATCAGTCTTGGATGTGGTGGGAGATAAAGAAATTGAGGGATCCTTCAATCTACTAAAATCCTCCATCAAAAAAATGTACTTGGTTTTTCAATGAGATTCTGAAAAGGGTTAAGATCGAGTTAATTGTTCAAATGGTCACTGAACTTAGGTCCATGTCTTTGATTGGTTACTGAAGTTTAAAATATCGAGTTTTGGTTACTGAACTTAGGTCAATATCTTCGATTACTCACTGGATTTAAGTCCATGTCTTTGATTGTTCACTGAAATTTAAAATGTCGAGTTTTGGCCACTGAACTTTATTGGCAGTAGGTTGACGTCAATGCCTTGTTCAAGAATCAACTGTGGCACGAATAGAATACACTCTTAGGACGCTCTTTGAAGGTGTAGATGAACTACTGAAGGTAGAATTCAGAAGTCCATCCAAGGTTCTCCGTCTCCATTCTCAATTGGTGTCTAGCTCGTGCCTATGCTTTATTTACTAATTCCGACTAGAGGTACGTCTGGGCAGTCAGGCAGCTCGAGAAGAAGCCTTTCCTTTCTTTCGGTAGCCATTTCCCTTGTCTTTATCTTTATGGCTAAGGGCCCTCCCTCTTCCCTAAATTAACAACCAAGTGCCAACTACCAAGTTGCCAACAGGGGTGAATTGCGATATGCAGAACCGGTGTAACGGTGTCCGTGACTCTGGTGAAGAGGAAATCTGGAAACCGGAAGGAGAAGTTGAGAAGAGAGACGGAGGCGACGCTGCGATTTGGAATTAGGGATTTTGATTTGGGATTTGGGAATTTTTTGGGCAAATGGATAATGGGTCATGGATACATAAGTTGGGTAAATGGAAGGGCGTTGAATTGGACTTGAAGTTGTGGGTTGCTCTTCTACATCACTGGGTCTGGTTCTACTAAAAAGGAAAAAGAAAAAATTATTCTGGACCGAAAATGAGGCCCCATGAATTTTGGGCCTAAGGAGTAGGACTCATTTGCCTAGCCTCAAGACCGGGCCTCAGACTACCCTAAATATCAGAAAACAATCCCTAAATCAGAATTAAGAAGGAATATACATGTACATAGAAATCAGATACAACGGGAAGAAAACATTATTACACAATTGATTACAACTGGAAGAAAACATATGTGATATACATAGAAATCATATTACATACCTTCGGACGCCGGACGGGAAGGGGGGCGGATGGGCAGGGGTAGGCGACTCGGACGGACGGCAGCATGTTGGTCAGTAAGGGAGATTGGAAATTTGAAAGAGAAGACGAGATGGGCTGCACACTGGAAGTTTTATGGGCTGCATTATGTATATTAGTCCAGAAAGAGAAGCTTCTCATAACTTTTTCATATTGCTATGAAAAAAGAAAAAGAAAAAAAAAAGAGGTCTCTAAGTTGCTCACGTGATCCACCATGACCCCACCCGATCCGCCGTGGATATTGACGTGGACCACGTGGTTATATGAGGCATTACGAAACTTTCATGTTTTTTCTACTTAATTAATCATGTATGACTAGATTTCGTACTTTTGAAATTTCAAGAGACAAGGTTAAAAGACTACAATATAGTTGTTGACACACTAAAAGTGCAGCCTAAATCGAATAGCCCAAGGAATGAAGCCCAATTGGGGAATTCAGGATAAAGGCCTAGATAGGGTTATTAATGAATGCGGTGGAAGCCCACGAACACGATAACATCATCGCCCAAGCTTGCAAGGTGCCCAAGATCTAAGCGAATGAAGTGTCTTACAGTCGCCCACAGCTATGATTCTATTCTCGCCCAAACCTTCGAATCGCCCAGGATATTACCAAACATAAGATATTATGGTTATCCAGAAGTGCGGTTATTGAAGCAGTTATTGAGTAACCTTATCTCGTTCCACGATTCAAGGAGTTCAGTTGAAGACGGTTGAACGACAAAGAGTAGTGGCAGTAGTTAGAGACGGCAGTGCCACGACAAGTTAGCCACCATAAAGAAAGTGGGTGGTTATGAAGCAATCAAGCAGTTTCCAAGTGGTTTGTCACAAAGGAATCATCGAGGGAATATAAAAGGAAGAGAAGACATAGAGAAAAAAAAACTCGAATCAAACACTCTCAAACAGAGAATATGTAATTTCAATTTCTTAGTTTGACTTAAACATTTCTTTTCAGTACTCGTGTGCTTACGCCCCTTGGAGGCATTCTGTTTAGTTCCAATTGTAAAGTCATCGCCAATAAAACACCCCTTTTTGGGACTTTGTCTCAAGAGGTTTGTTCCTTACACAATCGTTTGATCCCCTTTTAATTGTTAGCGACTACCCATGCGAAACAATTTGGCACGCCCAGTAGGACCTTGGTGTTTGGTGTTGAAAATACAAAAAGTTGAAACAATATGCCTCAAAAATCTGATAAGGAAGCAAGTCATGGAGGAGTCCAGTTTGTGATCGAGTGATATGAGGAGCAGCATAACTCTCCACGAACAGATGGACAGAATCAGAGCAGTCATAATCGTTACGAACCAATGATAGAGTTGAGTCCTCGATCTATGCGTGCATTACTTGGAGAACTCACACAGGATGTCGTTGAACAGGTAAATC